ATAGAATGATGCTTTGAAGGAAACACAGAGACCTTTAAACTTCCAAGTTGTTGTAAATGCTACCAAAAAACTAAACTAAAACATAAATTTGAACAGATGGAAATAAGAAAAGAAAGATTGTGGGAATAAGCATTGATGCTATCAGCTGGAAATGGCAATAACAAAAGCAACCACTGACTCTTTGAGCTTTCAGGTAGTACAAGGTATTTTCACATACTACATTTATTTTGTGTTTTTCACTGTGAGTTTTCATACACTGTCGGAACAGTTCAATCAAAAGAGTAAGTCAAGTTATCATGGCCAGAAAAGAACAATAGGTTTGATTCACTTATGCTGCTATTGGCACTACCGTGGCAGAAAGTCTGCCCAAGCCAGGGGGAGGTCAGAGTGGTGCAAGGTTCACAGCCTTGGTGACTCCCTAAATGAGTACAGCTGATCTGGAAAAATGCTGTCAGTGGAGCAGCAAAGGGTGTTCTCATTCTCCTTAGCCCCTCAGCAGTTTCCAAATCACTAACGAGGTGCTTGCAGTACCAAGGCGAGATTTAAAGCTCCTGTCCACAGGGCTGGTCATCTAATGAGCATCTGCCCTGTTTGGTTCAAGAGTGAATCAAGTCCATCGTGTCTGTTGTCTAAAAAGTCATGGATAAATAACAAACAGTATGAAGTAATTTCCTGCACAAACTTACTGCACCCTGGTCTTTACCACAAGCTCAGATTTCTTGTGTGGGCTCAGATTTTAGCAAAGAATTACTGTATATTGCTTTCCATGAGAAGAATTTCCCACTTAACGGATCTGAGGTCTCTATTAGACCCTTGGCTAATGGAAAACCATAAACCATCCCAGAGCTTTCTAGAACTCCATGGAGAGCTGAAAGTGCAGATATTTAGCCTCTTCAAGGGTCAGGGACTGACAGAAGACTCCTTAAAGGAATGTCAAGCTAATAGAAGTTCCAAACAATTTAGTTTCAAAGGACTTCTAAAGTAAGAGATGACTATATTAACCTGAATATTATGCAATGGCAACATTAACTCTTCTTCAGTGGTGCTCCTTGGTGGTGTCTGCCATCAAACTCAAAGGATTCTGGCCTGATTGTTTGGGCTTTTCTGGGTATGGGGTTTTTTTATGTTATCCCTTCATGGTTAGCTCTGTTTGGCAGCTAACTTTGACCAGTACGATTGCAAGTCAAAGTATAGTGGAGAAACTGGTCTTACTAGCACCACAATTGCTGATGTATTTTAATTCACCATAGGCACTGCAGATTTACACATAATTTTTCACTTTAGCCTATATATGCCACTTAATGTTGGAGAGGCCCTGTCTATTGGTAACTGGTGCTTTTTTGAATGGCTGCTCGTGAGTCTGTTTTTTTTTTTTTTTTTAATATTTCTTAACTCATCCCCTCCTAAAACAAACTCAGATTCATTCATTAAAATTAAGGCACTAAGATTCCACAGAGACAAACCCCGGAGAGGGCTGATAAATTACACAAATAAGCTGTATTTATAATACCTCTGATGCCTCCAAATAGGCATTTTATAGAAGAGAAACTCAGGCAAACTGATAAATCTATTCTCTGATACTGCAGCTGAGCTGCATTTCAATACTTGAAACCATCTGTTTGATACAAGCATACACTTAGCATAATATGAATACCTTAGCACACAGGTACCTTAGCATAGTGCATCCCTTCATTTTCTCATTAACAGCAATTATAGCCCAGGCAGAGAGGAGCACACGGTGGGCTGAAGAAGGAGGAGGAGAAACTTATAAAGAAGATGGATTTTTTTCCCTTAATCTCTGTGAGTCTGACAGAGCATATGAAGATCTGTAAGCCACAGAGTGCTAGTGAGAAACAGAGAGACAGACAAAATTATTTCCTTTGCTGGGTCTTGTAGTTTGAAGTAGTGCCTGCCTTATTCACAAGACTTTTTTTCCCCAGATGCCCACCCAAGAACCATTCAGCTACATTTATTATTCTGTCAAATACAATGTGCAATAAAGAGCCCGTCTCCCCAATGATGGGTACCTGTGTTCATAGCTCCACAGTGAAGCACATAAATCACATGTGAAGGGCAATGCACATGTGCTTTTTGTTTCTTGTATCACCTTTTATTATCTTAGGACTGAAAAGTTAATAACCCAGTGGGTAATCATGCCATTATCAGTTTACATTGTAGTAAAGCCCATTCAAATGATGATTACATATGTTAATGAGTGTCGTTATAATGCACTACACAGTACATTACCTTCAATAAATATAATTGTTTATGCACTTTAATGAGGGGATATAATGCCCTCAAAACTAATGGCATGGACTGAATTGTGATTTATTGCTGGAAAACTTTGCCATTAAGAAAGGAAATCTCACAAACCCTTTCATGTTTATCTAACTTTTTTCCTTCTTTAAAAGCTGCCACTCTTCTCTTCCTCCTTCTGCTAGCAAGGGAAAAATAGCTGTAAGACAGTTCAGCAGTGTTCCTTGTCAATGCCTTCCTCCACCTGAAGAAGCAGGAGGTGGGTTAATTTAGAGGGTTTAATGAAGATCATTATGTTTACCCCTTAGTAAGGCTTAATGCGCTATCTGGCAACAAAACTGATAACACGTCAAAATTTTGGCTGCAAATCAAACAACAGGAAGTAAAAATGTTGGTTATTAAACTAGAAACTAGGAATAGAAAATAAGGTTAAGGATGACATTTTGGCCAATGGTCCTTCATCTAGCTATACAATAGTCAGAGAATAGTTGGCTGTGCAGAGCATTCAGAGCTCTCCAGCTGGGAATGAAGAAAACTAGAGGTGAAATGCCACCTGATCTCTTCAATCTCTAGGCACTTTCTTTTCCAGAGGAGTGAGATAAAACCTTTCTTTGTGGGCTCAATAAGAAATGACAAAGAGACAAAGGGTGCTAAACCAGGCAGCACTGTGTAACCGGCTGAGGGTGCAGCAGGCTGAGCGAGATGAGCTATCAGCAACTAAACTGTACAAGACTGGAGTTTCCTCTTTAATTTCCCTCCACTTGGTTTCCTTCCTGAATTGCACCGCTGTGACATTTCCATTACTGGTGAAAAGTAGTGTGCTTTGTACAGGAGTCTCTTCTCCTATTGAAGTCGGTGCAAAAACTCCCATTGATTTCAGCAGCAGAGGCAGCAAGCTGGCAGTGGGGGCACGGTTGCCTCTGCAGAGAATTTGCATGTGGTTTGTCCTAGTTTTGCTGTCTCTTCAGTGTCTGAAATCTAGAAAAAGATTTCCTCAAGTCTTCAAGAATAAAGAGGATGCTGAAATTTAGAACAAATAATAACAGGAATTGTTCTAAATGCTGTTAAGATTCAGGTGTGATGGCAGGGAGCATGGGAAAGCTGCATGTGAGAGATCAGTAGGAACTTAGGTAGCTTCTTGAGGTATATTCCCCAAAATGTGTACGCACAGCAATTACTTGAGAAACTTTCCAAGGATCACAGTCATGTTCCAACTAGTTTGAAAGTCAGTAGTGTAAAAAAACTTTGACATTGAGATGCAATTTGTGGTAAGATCTAATTAATTTTTTTGCTCCTAAGAATAATTTATTATTTACACTTCTTATTATATATGTATTTTAGCTTCATTAGTCTGCAATGCTGGAAAAAATTATACCTTCAAGTCCTATTTATCAAATTAATGGTGCAATTTCATAGTGACACATTCCACATTCATTAAACCAAGTACAGTAAAAATGCATTTAAATTAGATTAGTGTGATGTAATAACGATTCCAGTGTATGGGGTGATATTCTAGCAGTAAAGAAACACCCAGATCGAGTTGAAAGCAACTTCGAGACGATTTTTCAAATTGATTTTGGCACTGATTTAAGTGAAAGAATAAGGACTAACATTTCCCCCTGCAGCTCGCTCTGTGTGGGAGGTCAGGGCCCTGAGTGGAATTGCAGGAAATGAGTGGTAGAGTCCTTCTGGCCACAGCACTGGAGGAAGTCATGCATGGTCCACAGAAGGCAATTTTGTCAGCCTCCCGAAAGGCTGGGGAAGGACCCCCACCTGAATGCACCTTTCACCAGTGCTGACTGCACAATGCCACAGGAGTTTCTGCCAGCCCCTTAAAACTGTGAGTCTCCCAGTTTTACGCTGACAAAGGCTCCTAAGTCTGTGCACGCATCCAGGTGCACGCACAGGCACAAATGCCGGGATGCAGAACCTCTTGCAGAACCACCAAGGGTGGTGGAGGTACCACCCTTGCCCTTTGCCTCCTGAATTACTGCTCTCTGGTAGCCTGTAAGCACTCTCTGGGCCACAGGGGCTGGGTGAATGTTGGTCCATTTCCACTGACCTCATCCACCTTGGCAATCCCAACCACAGAGCAAATAGAAACTCTAGGTGGGTGCCAAATTCATAATCCATGAGGGGCCTATAAAACCTTAAGCCCTTCTGCCTACTCATGCCACATAGACTGCTTGCTTCAACTCCACTGTGAAACAGGCAGAAATTCACATCACCTCTCTGTCGTGTCCTTTAACACCAAGTTTTAGTTTAGCACATTCCCTGTAGCTTAACTTTCCTGGCTTGGGCAATGAATGAGAGCCCCTGATAAGCAGCAGGTTGATGGAGGTTGCTGGTCAAGGAACAAATTACTGGGAATTCATGTCCTGAAGCTCTGATTGACTCAGACAGGGGCTGCATGTCCCCTCCTTCCACATGCTGATACTCGTCTTGTAGTCTTTATAGCCCAGCAGAGGAGTGCTTTCAGCTGGCTGACACTCAACCCCGCACTGCTCCAATATCACATTAAAGAACCAAATTAAATCAGAATAGCTCCTTAATAAAAAAAAATCTTTCTTCTGAGTATCCATAGGGAGTTGTGTATTGTGTGTATCTGTCTTTCAGACTGTAAGCCTTCAGGGCAATGACTATCTTTATTTCTGAAACACAAACAATATTAAAACACCATTGGCACTTAATAAATCAGCAAAACTACAATCATTACATGGGCCTCCTGGTGAGCCATCAGTTACCTTAGCAGATGAACAAAAGCGTGCCCTTTGCATTTAGGCTTGTGAAGGGTGTGTGGCAGACTGAGCACCCCGGGTTTTGGAGGATGCTATTTACTCACTAAGGAAGCCCTGGACCATTGCAGGCATCATTGCTGCAACATCCTCAGACACTTCTGTCCTGACCCAGAAGTACAGTCCCACCAGGGGATGCAAAGCTCATCTTCCATCTTGTACTTCTTGAGCTGAGGTGCAAAGAAAGGTGGTAGAGATTGATGCAAGATTACTCAGACTGCATATCTAGAGGACATTGTGTAGACACGAGTTATCAAATACTTGCATTATGGTGGCACAGAGGTGTGCCAGCCAGGGATGGTACAATCCAGCACAAAAGGCAGTGCCCCATGGTTGCTGCCCCATAGTCACTTATGTGGAGGCTGAGCTTGGAGGGCTTATACTGAAGAGCTGGAGCTGAGCTACACTGGTTTTAAATTGATGAACAGGGATAGGGTAATAGGGTTGAAAATCAAGAATCTTTCATTTTGCGCTGGATGTGCACTAATATCAAGGAAACTGCTGCATTTTCAAAGGACCACAGCAGCCCTTTATAAACCCAAAGGTAATTTACAGACATAGGCTCAGAGATACTCTTGCCAAAAAAGAATAAGAGGTTTTCAAAATTTTTCTTCTGAGATCTGCTAAAAGGCTGAGTTGAATCATTGTGAGCAAATTCATGTATTAATATAAACAATTAAGCTTGATTAAAAAGAAATCAGTTTTGCCTCTGGCCTGACTGACCTCAGATTTCTAAGTGCTGCTTTTCCAGTCCTAAGGGCCTGAGCTATGTGTCCTTTTGACTTCAGCTTCTCAGCCCATCATCCCCAGGCATATCTTTTGTTCTGTGGCTCCCCTTCCCCTTCTTCCAGTAGATATAGAGTTATTTAAACAATTAAGGCTGTATGCCCCTACAGCCTTCTCCAGAAAGTAAGGGGCAAGACACAGCCAAGTCAGCATGAGCACTCAGAGACAGAGAGCAAATTAAATAAAATGATTGCTAAAAAAAAAAAAAGAAAATCAAATCTAAGCTGAAATTTAAATTTGCTCATCTGTCTCAATTGATGATTTCTGCTACCAAGCACCATATGGTGCTGTGTGAGGCTATAAATATGCTGCTCTTCCAGACCCATTTCTATTGGCATTTCCCATCAGTACACAGGTGCTCCTGACTTCCCTGTGCCACCGAGCTCAAAAAACTTGAGTGTGTACCTTTGTGCACTTACAGGAAGCAAAGGCAGCTTGTCGGTGAGAGTGCTCCCTTTGCTTCAGAAAATATCAGATGTATTCCCACAGAGTGTGCAGGACAGCAGAGCAAGCCTGCATTACAGTGCAACTTCCTTTCTCCATGTTTTTTCCTAACATCTTCATACCTGTCAGCAGGGCTGATCAGCGGCCAGAGGCTCCTCCTGTGTGGATTCTTGGCCATGACCTCACAGTGTCAAGCACCACTGGGTCTCCCTGGCAGGACTGAATAGGTCCTTGTTCCTGCCTGCTCTCCTGCTAGAATCAGTAGGGCTGAGGAAAAGTGGGCAGCCTCACAGGGCAAGGGATTTGTCTTTGAGGAGAAGCAGGGAAATCAGTCAGGAAGCATGAATACCACCTAGAGAACCTGCAATCATCTAGCTTCACAAGGTCTATGGGCTTTACTCATTTCGGTAGCAAATTTCTGTGTCATTTTGCTGTAGGAACCTAAACACGATGACAGAGCACTACCCCATCCTGCAGTCTGTTGCAGTCTGGGGCCTTCATGCCCTGTCTGCAATTCTTTAAAGGGCTGGGTTTGGTTAGTGTTCCCTGCACACTGAGAAGGACAAAAGGGAAACACCATTGGTAGTACCAGGGGGTACTTTGTGAGGTTAATCTAAATATTGCCCTACAAAGACACCACGAGCCCACTGTCTTGGGATGGGGACAAGAACTCTGGCTGTTCATGTAAGGTGACCACATTTTCAAATCCATTACAATGGTTCAGAAATATCCAAAAGGTCAATATATTGTTCATACCACATCAGTGATGCTAGGGGGAATAACAACCTTCAGTAAATCCTATTATTTTCACAACTATACTAATAACATGAGAAACTATAGATATAATAAAAGTTTATATCTATAGTTGCTCTGCAGACACCTCCTCTGGTATGGTATAAATATAGTATATGAGACTTGGCGGTGTAATACAGTTTTTATTTCAATTTTTTAGGGATGGCCATGCACATCCATAACTCATGAAAATAAAAAGTGTATTACACTGCCAACTGTTACATATTCCCTAGTAAAGCAAAAATGGCAAGATAAATTTTATTTTTCTCTTCTACCCACCAACAAAGTGTCTAGCTGATATGTTGATGATGAAATGTTAGAATAAATATTATTTATTCAATCACTTTCTATATTTTAACCATGTCTGTCCTTTCTATTTGTCAGTCCTGTCCATCTGTCAAATGCTAGGTACCTTCTTTTTTCCACTCATGTTGCCTTTGGTTTTAATTTTACACTGCTGTACTTGGTGTTATTCTCCTTAGGGCTGATGGGAAGAGACATTGCCTCTTCCCATGTCCCACTCTTGAATTTTCTCAGCCACATTCTCTTTGGGTCTTAAGAGCTCTAACATCTGTGTGGGACATGTGTGTTGGCTTGGTAGCATTGGCAGCACTTCTTCAAGTTTGAAACAGCGTATATGAGGAAGGATCCCAGCTGCACGTTGTGCGTCAGTGGAACAAGAGGTGAAAAACCCTATGATTCATAGGTAGGGATGGGGAAAGAATTAGAAACTTGAGTGCAGCAGGCTAAATATCCTATACCTAAGAGAAATGGAACAAATATGTCACTCCCATACTATAAAAAGGAAAAAGTGATAAAATCCTGTTTTATACAAGTGCTATTATATTGCAGTCAGCTCTTGAGTATCCACATAGCAATGAATCTGGTGGCAGATTAACTGTGCTGGGCTTATAGGACATCCAGCATGGTTCTGCATGGAGTAAGAGCAGAGCCAGGGCCACTGGGGACTGGGGGTGGGAGACCTCAGCATGCAGCAATGGGGCTAGACAGGGTCCAGCCAAGTCAAGAGCTGTCCACATGCTGCAGTACTGCTGTCAAAGCAGAGGTGCCTCCTGCATAACTTTCTTGAGTGGCTCTGCCCTTTTCCCTCTGGGAACCTCTGTTTGGATTGAGGGTGGCTGATTCAATTTTTGACAAGCTCCTTTTGACATGTCTTCCTTCCATCAGAGGACGTGTAATGTCTGTCCCTCTGTCCCTCCATCCATGGGATAGTCACTGAGCTCTCACCAAGGCTAGAACATGAGCAAGAAATCTTTAATCCCTGGGAAAGTCCGCTCGGTGACACTAGTGCCAACCACCATTTTCTCTCAGCATGTCTAATTGATTAATATAATGAAATGAAACTCGGGCAAGTGTTCCCTGTGTGTATTAAATTTGAACTTTGCTGGATGTGAAGTAACCTGTCACTTGTAGGCTTTTTTTTTTAATGAATCAGTAGGTATCATAAAATTATTACCTTCCCTTAAAAATCTCACATATTTGATCCTTTCTTGTTTGCTTTATTTTCTTTCTTTCCTTCCCCCTCTATTTGCTCCCCTCCCTCTCCACCCCACCCCCATCCCATGTCTGTGTAAAGGGATATCAGAGACCTTGGGTTAAAGACCAAGGAATGCTGTGTCAACTGCCACATGAAAGGAAAAGAAATTTGATCTTCCCTTCTCTGCAAACAGCCCAGGTTCTCAGCCTGTACAGAAATCTACCCAGAGCATCAGTTCCTCCTGTTTCTCTCCTGTACAACACACCTCCACTATCACCTCACCTGGAATCCTTGGAGCTGGAATGGAAAAGAGGAGTTCATACCGTACAAATGTAGAAAAAAAACCTTCGTAGCTCTGTAGAGGTACTACACACACAATGATCAACAACAGCAGCCATCTGAATCCTTTCAAAACTTGTGTACAAGCTGCAAATGTGCAGACCAATGCCCAGAGGAGGAGAGAAGCACGCATAACATGAGGAAAAAGCAGGGTTTGAAACAGCCCAGCTGATGATAAGGTTTTTATTACAGCCTCAGCATACTAATACCACAACACTGCACAGGTGGGAGAGAGGTGCTTGAGGGCCAATAAACAAGGAATTTTATCAGTGTGCCACTATTACAGCAACACCTGTGCTAAATAACTTTGAACGTTGATCCACTGTGAAGAGTCAGTGCTCAGTAGCCCTCAAAATTTCTCATTTCTTACCTGCAGTGGAGTGGTCTTGTATTTGAACAGCGGCTACACAGAACTTCCTAAATGTTTTTCTTTCTTCTTCTTTAGGATGCCTGTCACACAGACACAAAGTCCCTAAATTGCCACCTTCCCATCTCTGCCTTTTCATTTCTTTCCTTCTTGTGCAGTGAAAGACATTAGGGATGGAGTGATAAAAACACGTGATAAAACACCATCACCGGGGAAATCTATGCCTTGGAAATACAGAAACAAAGTCTGCAGTCAAGCAAACTTTCCATTGATGACAGTGGGTTATGCTTCAAAAAGCAAAGGAGTCCTTAAAACTGTGCTTGCCTAATTAAGGTCCTGGTTCAGCTAGGGTCCCTAATTTAAAACAGATGACTCAGTGTTGATGGTGCTGCACTTTAAGTTGGGTGCCTGCCTAAGTACTTGGCTGAATAGAGGCCCAAGCAATGTATCTTTAAATCAAGTAGCAGTGCAATATAACAGCCATTCTAACCACTATATATAATTGAATAAAAAAAATCTAATCACTGAAAAAGGTGCTGCACTTACAGTGAAAAATAATAAATAAATGACTTACAGATTGCCAGCATGACAGTCTGCAGCAGAAAGGAACTCAGTGAATGCAGCTCCCATTTGAATTCATGGGAAAGCAGGGACTTTTGAAACTGCTAAGTTAACCAAAAATATATATTGTTAAAGCCAACAAATTTATTTTTCTGTTTGAAAGTCCCTGTTTTGCTATACAGAGGAATAGGTTTGGAATTCTCTGACTCTTCAGCATCATAAAACCCAGAGTGCCTGCTTGGGGAGGTGTCAGAAAAATATTGGTTTCCATTCTAGGCTTATGTTATATTTACACTGTGGCTCACTGAAATACTAAAGCAGTAAGAGATATTATAATTAACCTCTTCAATTTTTCCCTTAAGAAGTATCTGGTTCAATGAACTGTCAATCAGTTCTCCTATTCCCTATTAGAGCAGGGGCTAATATGCAGGACAGACGTGTGAGTTCAGTGAAAGAGGAGAGGCAAAACAATGGCTTTATAAATAGTATAGGACAGTAAATATTAAGTATGTTTTATGTAAAGACAAATTTTGAAATGCTCTGTGGCTACTTTGGAGCTGCACCAGTCCCCTCTTTTTGTTCCCCTAGCTCTAAGGGCACACACAGCTGTCAGTGCAATTGTATGCACATTCCTGCTTTGTGCAAGCAGTTTAGATCACTGTAATTGATTTGCAGACATGTAAACCTGATGCTCAAAGGTCTGCAGTAGGCATGAATTGTTGTTGATGTTGTTTGGTGTTATGTACTTACAAACAAGATGGGTGGTCAAATATCTTTACATAATGCTAAATTGATCTGACAATAAAACAAAAATGTTGCAGCTTAGTGCTTGAAACATTATCCTTTTAGATTAGAATTTCAACTTTTATAAATGTAGGTCTATTCACAATCCCCAATGCTGCAACTGACTGCATTATTTATTATTTATCATTATTAATTATCACCATGTATTATTTATGCCATGCAATAGGTATGCATAGGATTTTGCCAAGAAACATCCTTCACTCTCACATTTATTAATTTCGAGAATATTACTATGCTGTTTGATTTGGAAGTGAATCAAACCTTACCTAGATATTAAAATGGATGACAGTGAAAATCTTCAAAAGGTATTCTGCTTTCACTTGTGAGAATCAGGTGGCAGCTGGGGATCCTCTTCAAGGTCACTGTTTTCCTTTCCAAACCTTGACACCAGGAAGAGATGCCCAGTCCTTGGGCTCAGTCTTGTGCACTAAGAGCCCTTCCCTGATTCTTCTGAAGCCACAGCATAAATTCCAGTGTCTCAGCTGCAGCTAAGGGTCAAAAGTGGAACCAAATTATAGTCCTAAACTGTGCCAGGGAAGATTTAGGAGGAATTAGGAGGAATTTCTTCACAAATTAATATTGGAATGGACTGCCCAGGGATGTGGTGGAGTCACCATACCTGGAAGTGATTAAGGAAACACTGGATAAAGCACTCAGTGCCATGGTCTTGTTGATGTGGTGGTGTTGCATCATAGACTTAATGATCTCAGTGATCTTTTCCAACATAATTGATTACCAAAAAAAACAAACAAAAAAAACCAAAAAAAACCAAAACCCCAAAAAATTATCTGATTGCAGGCACGCACTTACTGGTATTACTATTTGTCTTAGGTTTATTGTTTGCTA